TATTTAAAAAAAAAAAAGAACTGGCCTTCAAACAAGCCATAGGACCCAAGTCTGTCTTGATGGCAGACTGCTGTAATCCTCTGCACAGGAACACTCACATTGGAAGAGGGTTTCGTGGCACTCTGAGCCAATAGGAGCTCTCATGCTTTGCACAGTGCTGTTTAACACTGTAAACATGCTTACAGGAGAGCATAGGGATCAGCTCATCAGTGTACTTCTGCCTCTTCATTGTCCAGCCATTAGTAATGGATTGGGCTGTGGACTAGGCTGTTTTGCTGGTGGGGTCTACAGAGGGGGTCCGAAAACAGCAGAACCTGGACTTCCACTTCCACAAAGGGAATGGCTTGGTGCAAGTAGGTACAGTCTAGATCAAATATGGGCATGGTTGGCTTGCTTCCATAGTATGCCATTAATAAATTACTGTAATTGCGTATCTCTTTCTGCGTTGTTCTAGTGCTGGTGGAACTGGGGTCCTTCTGAACGTAGACCTGGTGGCTGAGCAGTTGGAAGAACTGGGCTATCCTGGGATTCAGGTTCGAGGCCTCTCTGACTCTGGATGGTTCCTTGATAACCAGCAATACAGGAGGACAGACTGCACGGATATCATCACTTGTGCCCCTACAGAGGCCATTCAGCGAGGAATCAGGTAAAACCAAACATCTGAAGCACAAGCCGAGTATAAAAACCCTCCACACAATGTCAGGTAGTATAAGGACCTAACTCAACCATCCTCAACCAGGGTTGTGTGGAACACAAGGGTTCCTGAGGTTGCTAAGGGTTCCTTGACCGTTGGTGATTGGATGTTCCACCTACAGTGAACACCAATGCAAGGGGGCAATTTTCCACCAACCACCAAAGTAAGAGGCAACCACTACACTGGTCACTTTTTCATTGCAGGTGTAATCTGTTCTTGGGGGAACCCCTCCCTGATTTTTTTTTTTTTTTTTTTTTCTCAAGGGTTCCTGTGAGGAAAAAGTAAAAAAATTAAAAAGGAACAAAAAACAGTACCAGTCTTTGGATGTGATTAAAAAAAATAATAATAATATACAATATTATTTTTTTTTTTGGTCAACAATTGCAGGTTTCTTTTTATTTTTTCGTTTTTATATAATAAAAAAAAAACCCCAGTGGTGATCAAATACCACCAAAAGAAAGCCCTATTTGTGGGAAATAAATTATATAAATTTGTTTGGGTGCAGCTTTGCATGACTGTGCAATTGCCAGTTAAAGTAGCACAGTGCTGAATAGCAAAAAAATGGCCTGGTCGTAAAGGGGGTAAAACCTTTCCAGAGGTTAAGTGGATAAGCTTTCCTTACTCAGTCCAAATGCCTGCCTATAGGAGATCTTGTCATGCAGTGTGACCGTTGTAGCTACAGGGGGAGGAACTACAGATATGATTTTGTGGCAACCACCTAAACCCCTCCCCTTTTTGGCAATCTAGCGTCGTACGTGTTCGCATTGCGTTAACACAAATTCTTCTTGTAGGTATTGGAATGGAGTCGTTCCGGAGAGGTGCAAGCAACAGTTTAAAGAAGAAGAATGGAACTGCTTCTTTGGCTATAAGATCTACCCGACCCTAAGAAGTACGTAATGCTGAATGATGAGAAATCTATTTAAAGGGTCAATCCACCTTTAGGAAATATTTTGGTGTTGTGTTGAAATCTGGGGAGAGTTCCCCTCTGAGAGGTTTTTTCACCTATAGATCTGTCCAGCAATACCCCACCTGTATTAGAGTGCCCCTACACTAAATGAAGAAGCACAGGGGGCTCCTTTTGGACAGCAGCAGTCTTGGGGGAGGGGAGTGTTAAATGTACTAGCAGATTTCAATATACAAACAGATCGAGGCCATATTCCAATAAGCAATTACAGCAGTTTTTTTTTTTTTTTGTGATAAAGGTTTGACATGAATAAATAAAAGATAATTATTTGTAAGCACCCCTGCTAGTGTTAAATTGTTTGTCTCATTCCTGTAACTGATGCATTGTGCTGGAGAGCTTGTGCTTTTGAAAAACAGACTCACTAACAAGATCACCAGATAAATATAGAAGAAAGCCTAAAAAAAAAACAAAATTGAATGCAGCCATCACTTATAAGAATTGGTAGGCAGCAATATAATAAATATTTGCTTTTGGGTTTAATACCGCTTTTAACCTGTTACAGAAATTAGAAAACTAAAGGATCAACAGGTAATAATTGTTGCGGGGACCTTCTGTCAACATTTTAAGTCTGAGTTCCCGTTGGAGATTTGTCCTAGTATTGTCATTGCAGAAGGGTAAAAATCCATTGGGGTGTTTGGGTGCTGACTGTCGAGCATGGAAATTTCACTTTACTTTGTGGAGATTTCCTTTCATTTCCTGTTGCATCTCCAGACGAGGAAGTGACGGAAAGTCTCGCCATTAGAACGCAAAACCACCAATAGGGGTTTCAGTGCTTCCATACTCTATGCAAAAAAAAGAAAAAGTTTACCTCCCCCCTTTTTTTTTTTTTTTTTTTTTTTTTTTTTTTTTTTAATTTTATTTTGCTCATAGATAACTTTTTTGTTACTTTTTTTTTTTTTTTTTTCTTTTTTTTAAGGTATAAGACGCTTTTTCTATTAAGGGTAAAGAAAATATTGCAGCCAGCCTTTGCGGATGGGTTAAGTCAGGTCGTTTTGGTCTTGTGGTTATTCATGTCATCTTTTTTTGGTCTTTGATTTCTTCATGATTGATTGGGAGGGGCTTGATTGATTGTGGGCCTGTGGTAGCAGCCCTTGGACTGGGCTACAGATGCACATTCAGGTTGAGACGGAGTAGCAATTATATGGGGTCCAGCTGCTGGACATCTGTACCAAAGTCATGTGTAATGTCTATTTCTGTCCGTCTTTGAACTCCGGGCGCTGTTATATATATATCTTTTATGTGACACGGCGAAAGGCGCTCACGTGTTTATTACCTACATATAACAGTGTTTTAAAATAGAACCGATACAAGGTGCCCATCCAGATCCTTTTTACTGGTCTATTTGAAGAATACAAAAAAGAAAAATATTGAGTTGCTCAATTCCTAACAAGCAAAAGATGCTCGTGGGAGGAGCAATGTGCTACAAAATCTTGATAATTAGCAGGAAGGAGGTTGTTAAAGGATGTCTATGAATTACCCCAATATAGCCACAAATGGGGCAAATAATAATATAATAAAAAAAAATAAAAAAGAAGGGGGGGCGGGGCCCTTCTTCCCCTTCTTCTCCTACTTCTCCTTCTCCTTCTGCTTCTTCCTCTCCTCCTCCTCCTCCTTCCTTCTCCTCCTTCCTTCTTCTCCTCCTCCTCCTCCTGCCTTCTCCTCCTTCCTTCTTCTCCTCCTCCTCCTCCTCCTCCTCCTCCCCTCCCTCCCTCCCTCCCTCCCTCCCTCCCTCCCTCCCTCCCTCCCTTCCTTCCTTCTCTCCTTCCTTCCTTCTCTCCTTCCTTCCTTCTCTCCTTCCTTCCTTCTCTCCTTCCTTCCTTCCTTCCTTCCTTCCTTCCTTCTCTCCTTCCTTCTCTCCTTCCTTCTCTCCTTCCTTCTCTCCTTCCTTCTCTCCTTCCTTCTCTCCTTCCTTCTCTCCTTCCTTCTCTCCTTCCTTCTCTCCTTCCTTCTCTCCTTCCTTCTCTCCTTCCTTCTCTCCTTCCTTCTTTCCTTCCTTCTCCTTCCTTCTTTCCTTCCTTCTTTCCTTCCTTCTCTCCTTCCTTCTCTCCTTCCTTCCTTCCTTCCTTCCTTCCTTCCTTCCTTCCTTCTCTCCTTCCTTCTTTCCTTCCTTCTTTCCTTCCTTCTTTCCTTCCTTCTGTCCTTCCTTCTGTCCTTCCTTCTGTCCTTCCTTCTGTCCTTCCTTCTGTCCTTCCTTCTCTCCTTCCTTCTCTCCTTCCTTCCTTCCTTCTCTCCTTCCTTCTTTCCTTCCTTCTTTCCTTCCTTCTCTCCTTCCTTCTTTCCTTCCTTCCGTCCTTCTTTCCGTCCTTCCTTCTGTCCTTCCTTCTTTCCGTCCTTCCTTCTGTCCTTCCTTCCTTCTCCCCCCTTTTTTTTTTTATTTTTCTTTTATTATTTTTCTTTTAGCAATGAACAACTTTATTACACTCTGTGACTTCATCACCAGGCTTCTAAAACTTCTGTACTGGGTCTCAGTTCGAATGGTGTAAGGCCAACCCCCAGAACTACATCTCCCAAGAGCTCTTTCTCTGCAAACAAGGTGTGGGCAGGCTCTTGGTATTCAAAGCAGTAGAGAGGGGTGAGGGAATAGGTGGAGTTCTGTAGTCCATGTATGGCCATATTAAACCTTGATCTGCAGGTCACATAGTACTGCACGCATGATCACTTATGACACCAGCCAGTTGATGGCTTGACAGTTCAGTGGAGAGCTCAAGCAACTGTGTATTATTCTTTTAGTAAGGAGCAACTTTATTACTCTCTGTGTCATCATCACAAGGCTTCTAAAACTTCTGTACTGGGGCTCAGTTTGAATGGCGTAAGGCAAACCCCCCAGAACTACATCTCCCAAGAGCTCTTTCTCTGCAAACCAGGTGTGGGCAGGCTCTTGGTATTCAAAGCAGTAGAGAGGGGTGGGGGAATAGGTGGAGTTCTGTAGTCCATGTATGGCCATATTAAACCTTAAACATGATCGTTTATGACACCAGCAATTTGATGGCTTGACGGTTCTCATTCATGGCATGTTTTAAATGTAACTGTTTTGGTAAAACCATTAAATCAATGGGACACCGATGCAGTTATAACCCCCACCTATGATATCCAATATTTAAAAAAATCTGATATAAATGATAAAATCTAAAATTATATTTTTTATAATGTTCATCTGTACTCTATAAAGAACTCTCCCCACATTCCATTTTCTCCATTGCAGGTCCAGTGTTCGTGGTCCAGTGGTTGTTCGATGAGGCTCAGCTGACGGTGGACAATGTACATCTAAGTGGGCAGCCAGTGCAGGAGAACCAATGGAATTATATCCAGAATTTGGGCCGGGAGCTGAGGAACACTCTGAAG